CATCCATCCATCCATCCATCCATCCATCCATCCATCCATCCATCCATTATCTTTACCCGCTTCTTTCTTTTTGGGTCACGGGCCACTGGTGCCCATGTCCATCTATCACTATGCGAGAGATGGGTGACACCCTGGACAGGTCTCCAGTCCATCACAGGGCCACATAGAGACAAACAACCATTCACTCTCATCGAGGGACAATTTAGAGTTACCAATCAGCCTAACATGCATATTTTTGGTCTGTGGGAGGAAACCAGAGTACCCGGAGAAAACCCATGCATGCATGGAGAGAACATGCAAACTTCATTCAGAAAGGCCCTGGGCTGGGATTTGAACCGACATCCTTCTTGCTGAGAGATGGCAGCTCTACCAACTGCGCCACCATGCCGCCGTGTTAACAGATTTGTTAAAATTTATTAGTACAGTAGTCCCTCGCTACTTTGCGGTTTGTTTATCGCGGACTCGCTCTATCGCGGTTTTTCAAAATAAGATTGGAGATGACACACAATTGACTGATTGATGGATGAGACGCACGATCGGCATGGAGTTTGTCTATCCATCCATTATGTTTTACCTGCTTTTTCCATTTTGGGTCATGGGGTCGCCAGTGCCCATGTCCAGCAATCACTATGCGAGAGATGGGTGACACCCTGGACAGGTCTCCAGTCCATCACAGGGCCACATAGAGACAAACAACCATTCACTCTCTCACTCACACCTAGAGACAATTTAGAGTTACCAATCAGTCTAACATGCATGTTTTTGGTTTGTGGGAGGAAACCCGAGCATCCGGAGAAAACCCATGCATGCACGGAGAGAACATGCAAACTCCACCCAGAAAGGCACCCGGACTGGGATTTGAACCAGGGACCTGCTCGCTGAGAGGCAGCAGCTCTACCAGTTGTGCTACCGTGCTACCGGCATGGAGTTTTTATTTAAAATTAATTATTTAAAGTTATTTAGCACCTGCTGCACCTGTCTGCAGCCCACACTGCAGGTGAAACTTCCTCCTTCCTCTTCCTTCCTCCTCCTTCCTCCTCTGCTGATCTTCGTTCTGCAGTGAAGAAGTGGGCGTGGCTGGGAGCGCAGAGTGCAGGAGAGGCTGGGAGCTGAAATCATGACATTCTATGTTCTTTGAGAGCGTTTAGAAACATTGGTTATGGAAGGGTTTAAAACAACTTTATATATATATATATATATATATATATATATATATATATATGTACTAAAATAAACTACTACTTACTACTTGTATTATTATTTTTACTTTGTGGTTTTTTACTTATCATGGGGCTTCCGGGTAAGGATGTACTGCGATAAACGAGGGACTACTGTATAACTACTTTGATACATATTGTAATATATCATCTTGTGTTGTATTGTGTCATGTTGTATTGTCATATTATAGTATATTATAATGTATTGTGTTGTGTCGTACCGTACCTCCATGTCATATTATATATTATGCAGTGTTGCTTTGTATTGCATCATTCCATATTGCACTGTATTATATCATATTCTAACATTGCATTGCTTGCATCATATTTCATTGTGATTTGTTGTGTTGTATTATTTTGTATTGCATTGTTGGTAGTGTATTGAAACAAATTTTGGTAGTTAATCTGAAACAAACAAGCAAAAAACAGACATGACCTATTTTTGCTTTTTCACTAAAGAAAAATGTCCCAAATCAGGAAGCATTTCAGTGGGGTTTGATCATGCTACAGCATCCCTTACTGTTGTTGTCCTGATTCATTGTCAAAGCTGGAGCTTTATACTGTAGTATAGAGTATATGTGTTTTTAATTAACCAAGGAGGCCTTGTTTTACTAAAAAACCTGAAAAAAAAGGCAAAGTGTTAAGACTTGCAAAGAGAATTCCATTGTGTTTTGGTCACATTATTCAGCACACACTACATTAACAGCTTTCATATTTACATCTTACTGACTACTACTGACACAACTCACACTGCTTTTTTCGTTGCTCTTAAGTTGTCAGTCTGTGTTCTGCTCGTTTTTTCTACTTTATTCTTCGCTCCAATCCCTTCAAACACACACAGACACACACTTCCCAGCACCACGCATTATAGCAGAGCAGAAATAGCCGCCCATCCTTCCTTCCATCCATCCATTAAACCACTCTTGGCCTTTGGGTGGGAGGATGGCTGAAGCAACAACAATTAAGATTGCAGCCTTAAGGTTTGTTTTCGTCTCAGCCTATGTTTGACAGCTCGCAGCTCATTTGAAGGAAGAGAGAAGGAATTCATGTGCAAACACAAGAGACGGATAAAAGCGGTTATTAGAGCTAGAAAGGCTGCTTGATTGTGGGATGTAGTTTAGACTTATAACCTTGTTGTGTAGTCTTACACATCAGTTGTGCTGATGACAGACTGGTTCCTGTTGTCGTTTTTCTCCCCTCCATCAGTATTTCTTCAATTCTGAATCTGCTATCACATCTTTATATAAGGAGGACATAAAATGGTTCACGAATGAGACCACAGGCCCCATATTTCCAGGTTTACAGAGCATAGGAACCATCATGCTGAAGAAAATGAACTGCAAAAAATTGCAGGAAAACAATAGTGCAACATTCTAAACAAAATCTAGCTCTGTGTTTTTGTGTGCGTCCTTTGGCCTGCATTCTTCTGGTCAAGCCAAGGCCAGTGATGTTTACTTTTTTCCCTCTTTTTTTGTAAAATGGTATAATTTGGCAGCTATATTTATGTTGCAAAGAGCAGACTGCAGGGACCTGTTATCCATGCTTCTAGGCCAGGTCCACACATAATGCATAAGCTCTTTGTTACACTGCCTTTTAATGCTCTGAAATAATAGCACAGTTTTTTTAATGGAGAGAGAAAAACTGTTGCAGAAGGTTGCATAAGCAGCTTTAAACCACAGTGGCTAAAAATAAATAAACCCACATGGATAATTTGTACTGGAATGGAGTTCAAATGAGGCTGAATCTGGTAAACTGGTGTTTTATCAATGAGTATGTTGATTATAATCATGGAATCTCTTTGGAAAACCTTTACCTTTGTAATAGATTTTAAAAAGTCCGTTATAATTGACAACAACTTTGTGCACCATTCACTTCTAAAACTGCCCTACAATAATGAATTTCAGACCATTATGAGTTCTGTGATGAGTGCATTGAACAGAACATCAGGCAAGTTTTTGAATGATAGTTAAACAGAGCTGAAACACAATAAACTCCTATTTTTTTTTAAAGTTACCATCTAGCAGTGAAGTCTTTGCAAACCTTCTTGCATCATCCTTTTTTCTCATCCATCATCACTTCCCACTTGATAATGTAGGAGGCCTAATTATACTTCTATAGCTTCAGTCAAAAAACATCATTTCACTAAACGTCACTGAAGTTCTGTGCTAACCATGAGCTTTAAGACTTTCTATCACTCAGCAGAATTACAGTCCTGGGGATCAGAGGAGGAATTAACATAACATGGTTAGAGAATTCAGGGCTTTAGGTCACCCCTCAGTCTCGCATGGGAGTGGGTTTTACTTTACAAGATTAGCCCTGGGGGTCATAACATCTGCTGAACAAGCGAACTGGCCCGGTAATAATTTGCTTCTCTAGGAATTAGTTTTAGTTTGAGCAGTAAGGGGGATGGTGTTCATGTGGGTCAGGTCATTGCAGGGAGAATAAAACTGGCAAACAGGCTCCCATGTATGGCCACTTTGATTAGTGAGTGTGTGTGCACAATATGACATCATGGAGACTGTGTTTCATGACAAACACTTGCACAGCTCATTTCCTCTGCGAGTGAATGGTGACTTTGTTGCAACACTCGTTTGCAGTTTTAAACATTTCCTGCATCCAGGTGATGTCTTCTTTTCTATCTGATTGGATGGCAAAGCAGGACTCGGCTCTCATGGGATTTCTTGCATGTAGGTGGCACACAGTGACATTTTGCTGTGGTTTACAAGGGTCATTTTATTTTGTAAGTGTGACGAGGAAAGAGTACATTTCTCCCCACCAACCTCCTGTTAGGTGTGGTATAAACAGTAGGGCCTTGTAATTAGGAATAGGCAGACCATTTCATAATACTTTTTGACCACTAACACTGACTACATATTGGCAGGAATAACTACTTTTGAACTTCTGGGACAAAAAAAGTTTGCAGAAATTTGCTCAAAGGCACGTGAACTCGCTACACATTTCACCTGTACGAGAAAGTAAAAAGTAACTGAACACTTCAACACATTTGATGGGATAAAGCGGCACGCTCCAGGTTTTTTCTTTTTCTTTGATTTTTATCGTTTAGATGTGCTCGCCAACACAAATGTTCTAAAAGGACACATTAAGATGTGAAAAAAAAACCAACTACAGTTATTATTTCTAAACTTGGCTTTCAATGTGTCTGACTCGGACATTTGCTAAAAGTTATCTAGATATTTGTTTGCAGTTTTTTTTTGGAATGCTTTAAAAATGTCCCCACTTAACGTGCAAAAACTTCTCAATGTTTTTCCATTGTGCCCTGAAATTAATAAGATAAATTGGGCTTACGCAATAGCATGGATTATATGAAGCACTAAATATTCAAGTGCACTAAAATGCCTCCCTCTGCTTTGTGTTTTCCCAGGTGTTTACATCCAGCATGTCGCCACACTGCTCCCTTCTGCTGCTGCTGAGTGTGACCTGGCTGGTCTCGCCCTCCTCTGCCCTGCCCTTTGAACAAAGAGGCTTTTGGGACTTCGCCCTGGACAGTTTGGAGAATGGCGGCTTGATGAGTATGATGAGGGATGAGGAAGAGAGTTCAGGCAGCGCGGAGATGCCCCCTCCAGACGTGCCCACGTGTCCCTTCGGCTGCCACTGCCAGCTCCGGATCGTCCAGTGCTCTGACCTCGGTTAGTGAGCGTGCGTGCGAGGAACACAAAGTGTTGGGTTGAGAGTTGCTTTGAGGATCAGACAGAAAAATAAATTATTTGACTGACCGGACATGAACCAAGGGTCTCGAGCCTCATAACCTCAGAAAGTAAAGCCCCCTTTTCTCATTTTGTGATTTTTTTTTTCTAAAGCAGAGATCCCCCCCCCCCTCCTCCGAGGGAAATGCTGGTGTATTTTAACAGGGGAAGGCATCTCTTTGAGGGATTTTGCGTTCTTGACTTTGCATGTATATACTGAGTAGAAGGGAGAAAAAAAGAGCAAAAGAAAGGAAAAACCGTGGGACAGACGGAGGAAAGCAAAACAAAACAACAAAAACACACAAAAAATAGTGGTAGTGACAAAACCAAGAAAATATTTAAGCATAGACAAAGCCTCTTTGACAGGAGGAGAGTTTTTCATTTTGTTTAATAGGTATTTTTTTAGGGCCATGTGTAAAATGTCTAGGACTGAAACCAAGGCTGAAGAAATATTAAGTTAGTGAAACAAATAAAACATTGAGACTTTACTAGGAAGCTTGAGACCAGTATGAAAGCATTCTTTGTCTTAATGACCTTTATGGAAACACAAATTGATCAAATATGACACAAAACGAGTATAATCAATAGATACCTATTGAAAAGTTTCATAATGCTCATACAGAGAAACCTTTTTAAAGCAGATTCCTTCAAAGCATTGTGCAGCTCTTTAAAGTGCTCTCTTTGTCTAATCTCAAAGGACCAAACTACTAAATTTTCTGTAATTCATGGATCTAAAGATTTGCCTCACTCCACTTGTCGTAAAACTCCTACATGATGTCTGTGTTTAGACGTAATGGTTTTGTCAAATCATCATTTTACAAGCTCTATGCACTTACTGTCCTCAGTCTTTCTGCAGTGGTGTAAATGTGGAAGTGTATAATTTCCAAGATGTCAAGTGCTTATTTAGAACAGATGTATTTTGGTGGTGGCGTCTGTCTCCTCTCAGCACGCATCCCAGCATGATGTAGAGCATTTGGGTTGAGGCGGCCAGGGTTTTATTGGGTGCTGGTATTGTCACTTTGTGTTTGAGATGCTGAGATTTGTGGCAGATATGTGTGGAAAACCATTTTTTATTTTGTTTTGAGGGTTAATAGATTACTTAATCACGGTCTGGCAAAAGTTTTTCTTGTTTTTGTCAAGTTTGTTTACATCTGCCAGATATGACGCAGGTGTGCAGTATAAATCTGGAGGTTTCTAGCTGGAAGAATGTAAACTAAAAGCTGCAGGTGTCGACTGGAGTGTAGCAATACCCAAACATGAAATAGCAGAACTTTCTGCACAGAGATTTGCACAACTGTCTTTTTCTCCCTCCTTCAAATGAAGACAAGCAGTTCACGAAGAAACAAAACAGATTTGAAATTTACTAACCAGCTTTAGCAGCAAAACCTGCACACCAGCACACATACGGGAGCACAGCATCAGATTAAACGGGTGACAAAGTTTGCATGTCAAAGGTGGTTTGAGCTGGATCTATATACAACTTGTCAAGAAGTTGGAGTCCTGTCCAACCTGCTGAAGTTTTAAAACAACTCCACATTGAAATGTCAAATTGTTTCACCCACGGCTTTCAAGCATTTTCTCTTGGTTTTCCAACACTTTACAAACTACTTTAGCTATAGACATGGAAAAGAACTTGCCTAGGTTTGGTGAACATGATAGCTTTTCCTGGATTAATGGCTCCTGTTCTTTTGACAAATCCCCAAGAAGTACCCTCCTGAAGTACAAAAGTCTTATTCCACACCTAATATCTCATTTGGGGATTCTTTCTCATTAAGTTGCAGACAGGACTGTGGCAGACATAATTCCCCACGATTTTAAGGATACATTTTGCTTTCGGAAGCCTTGATAATTTCCAGGATAAAGCCACTGCTCCTTCGGCATTGCGTGGGTGTGGTTTGAACGTCAGAGAGAGCAGCTGATGGTTTGGTGCTGTGTGGTGACACAGAGGGTGTGGCACAGCACCACTAAACCATATATCTAAAGTTAAACTGTAGCTGGACAGTTCTGGGCAGAGTCCGGTGGGTCAGATGTGGTTGGTGGTTGACTGAAAACCCAGTGTGACTGCTACTGCTCTCTCACCAGTGGGTCTAGTTGCATCATGGCCTTGAAGCAGCTGAGGCTTGTCCTGGTTGGAACTCACTTACACATCCTCCAACCACATCTGAAACACTCGTCCACGTGGCTGTGTGATGCAGTCTTCTTAATGATCACTGGTCGGTTGCTGTGTTTATGTGCGGATGGAGTCTTTCCTTTGAAATAATGCAGGTGTGTTTCTGAATGCCACTTGACTGCCAGCTGCTCGCAGTCTTTTGTCAGCGTGCATTAATTTATAACTCAGTGAACGATATTCTAAAATTAATAAATGTGACTCTTTTTGGTTTTAATTGCTTTAAAATTAAAATAAAACATTTACATATATATATTCTCAATGCATCACAGCTTTAACACTCATACAGACTCATGTATTTCTTATACGTACCAGAGTTGCAACCCCACACCATCCCTTTTTTTTGATGTGTGACTTTGCAGATGGTATTTAAGTCCCATCCTTGGTGACTTTTGTTAATAAAAGCCAGATGGAAAAAGCTGGTTTTCCCATCTGGTGCAAGGGAAACTAGTGTTTGTGTGTGTTATATTGCTCATACTGCTGTGGTGTCTGTGTGTGACCTCCATGTTTGCGTCCATATCCACCTTCCATTAAAATATTAGGCCAGGAGCACCAACGTGCTCATTTAGGACTGTGTGGGAGTGTGATTGGTGTGGCTATTTATTTTCCAAAGTCTGTGTCTGAGTGAGACTTCCTAAGAACCTTCCCTCTGAAAACAAAGTGGTTTTGTGGTGTAAGCATTTAATAGACCGTGACTCCCTTCTGTGTTTTTGTTGGTCTTGATTTTAGGTTTGACGGAGGTACCAAAGAATCTTCCTCCAGACACCAAGTTCCTGGACCTGCAGAACAACCGTATCACCGAGCTGAAGGAGCATGACTTCAGAGGCCTCACTAACTTATACGTAAGAGAAAAGTTAAAATCATACCGCCCCACTCCTTATCAGCTTCACATACCTATCTAAAGGATGTGCAGTTGCAGTTTGTATTGGCTGCACTGGGACATTCCAGGGGGATTTTGGGATTTAGAAGTTCATTTCCTCTCTTTTTCCCCACTATGCTGAATTTCACCGAGGGCTTTAACTGTGTTGAAGTTTTAGCCCGAGGCAAGTCTTTTATAGCAATAAGACGTTGCTCACTCCTGACCCACATTAAAGAACACTGACTAAAAGTGAGGTTAAAGGGATTGTGGATTGACAACTTCTGAAGTACAGTTCTGAGGAAAGTTTATGGGCAAATCATACCTTACCTGTGATGAATAGTTCTTTGATTATTCTAAGTTTGGAGAAGTTGATTTTAGTTTAGACTAAACTGACAGCTATTTGGAATTGGGCCCATACAAATATAGTTTGCTCCTTAAAAAACAACTTCAATCTCCAAAATTGACGATGGTTCATGTGAGTGTTATTTTCTAAACTATACACCACACTCAATTTGGCAGTGTAGTTTTTATTTTATTTTATTTGCTGTTATTTTTTTTTACCTAAAGTTCTATAATTACTTGCAAATGGGGGCAGCATCAGCTAGCTTTGCATTCTGATGTAGTTTAGAGATGGGATGTAAGTTTTCAAATGAGTGGCCAATAGCGTCCACTAACATTTATGAGGTTGCACACCAACACCAAAAATCTCAACATGAATTCAGGACTTTCATTATACATGATATAATGTTGTCATATATGTGCTATTTGAAAACTACAGGAAAATGTGAGTTAAAGAATCCTCTTTGGACGGGTCTACTTCAGTTTTATAATATATATATTTATTACTTTTAAAACTACTAACTGAGAGCAGCAGTCACTCCTCAACTCTCTGCGAGATAGCAGTCGGAAGGGTCTACAAAACAGTTCAGTAAAAAGAGAGAATACAAAAAACATCTCTTGTTCATTTTGTGTAAAACATCAGTGTTTCTCTTTGTACTTATTCTTTCCTTACCACAAACTGATGTTATCCTGTTTAGTAAGTGCCAGTGACTTTATTCCCTTATGTTTTCAGGCTCTGTCTGTGAGGAATAACAAGATTTCCAAAGTCCATCCCAAAACGTTTGTCCCTCTGAGGCACATGCAGAAGCTCTACTTTTCAAAGAATCTGCTGACCGCTATACCCAAAAACTTGCCTGCATCTCTGGTTGAGCTAAGGATCCATGAGAACCACATCAAGAAGGTGGCAGCTGGAACCTTCTCTGGACTGGGCAACATGAACTGCATAGGTTAGAGATGCTAATGACTCCTCCAACTCGGGCAATATTCTGTGGTACTCACCACTGTCTGTGCCACTTTACAGCACTGGATGTAGATGAAAAAAAAAAAGAATATATTTTTATTCTGTGCCACAATTACTTCTTTTATTTTGCAGAAATGGGAGCAAACCCCCTCCAGAACAGTGGTTTTGAGCCAGGAGCATTTAGGGGACTTAAACTGAACTATCTGCGCATATCAGAAGCAAAATTAACCGGAGTCCCAAAAGGTAGGAACTCACCTGTAGAGATGTGATGCCAAAAATACATATAATTTAGATAATTGCAGATTCTTCAGAGTCCTTCATTTTGGTGATTTTTTTTTACACAACCAACATGTAGATAAAGTCATCTGACAAATCCCATAACACTATTGACAGTTACCACACAACTATAGAGTGATGACATTTTACGAGTCTGTTTGCTTCAGGTGGATGAGTTTAAGTATCTGGGCATCTTGTTCATGAGTGATGCTGGGATGCAGTGGGAAATTGATGAATTGGGGCCTTGTCCTCAGTAATGAGGGCATTGCTTCGGACTTTTGTGGTGAAGAAAGAGCTAAGTCAAAAGGCAAAGCTCAGCATTTACTGGTCTGTCTACGTTCCAACCCTCACCTGTGGTCATGAGGTTTGGATCATGACAAAGAACAAGATCTCGGAAACAAGCGGCTGAAATGGGCTTCCCTTGCAGTGTAGCCAGGCATAGCCTTAGAGATAGGGTGAGGAGCTCCATCCTGCATGAGAAGCTTGATGTAGAGTCGATGCTCCTCCGCATTGAAAGGAGTCAGTTGAGGTGGTTCAGACATCTGATTAGGATGCTTCCTGGACACCTCCCTTTAGAGGTTTTCCAGGCAAGTCCCACTGGTAGGAGACCCTGGGGATAACCCAGAAGTCACTGGAGGAATTGTGTATCTTCTCTGGCCTGGGAACGTCTTGGAGTCCCCCAGAACGAGCTGAAAAGTATTGCTGGGGAGAGGGATGTCTGGGTTTCTCTCCTGGACCTGTTGCCTCCACGACCCTATTACAGATAAGCAGTAGAAGATGTAGCGATGGACGAAAGATCTAAACAGTTTAGAAAGCATTTTGCAAAGTGTCACCCTGGAGTTAAGGCTCTCAGGTTTGGTGTCTTGTTTTGCAGATCTTCCAGAGAGTCTCAGCGAGCTTCATTTGGACCACAATCAGATCCAGGCTGTGGAACTGGAGGACCTGAGCCGCTACAAAAACCTCTTCAGGTCTGTTTTATATTCAAACTCAACACTATTTCACTTTGGATAATTTGCATGAAACCTTGCTTTCTTTTTTACCACACTGGCAGTTTTATTAAGTCATAGTGAAATTAGTGACATGCTTTGAATGAAATGCACAATAAACGTCTTGTGCATGTCTCAAACTGTCTTCTTTCCAGTCATGTATGTACACTAGAATGGCCTCCTGTCCATCAGGCTTATGCTTTAAAAATGGTAATATGTGCAAGAGCTGCTTTAACTCAAAGCCTTAGAGAGGTGGCAACAACCAGAAAAACAGTTCATAAAATCATAAACAACAAATTGAAAGCAGATCAGCTAACTGTTTGGAAAGCAGTTTTATTCTGAAACACATCTCAGTAATTACTGAACATGACTGTGAATCCATTTGCCTTTTTTATTTGTTTGTTTACAATTTAGATGACGATTTAAAAATCTGTTGCGTAACTGTACTAATTTAAAACAAGCAGTTTATGTCTGCTTCTTCGATGGTGCAATTCATTACTCTGTATAGAATATGAATTTCCAATATTCAGCAAATGAATGAATTAATACAAATTCCTATTTTATTTTTGGGATATTTAAACATTAAACAAACAGAGCATTAGAATATTGTTTAGATCTAAAGTTTATGATTATGTCTAGCTTATAGCAAAGAAAAAAAAAAGCAAAAATAGGAACAGTTTTCCTTTTCCGAGGTACAGTGAACGCATCGTGATGAAAAAATAATGAAGACAGATCTCAGATGTCAAGTATTAGGTGTGTAAAATGATAGAGGCTGGAGTTTTTTTTAACGTTGAGATCTGAGTGTGACAGTGAACATGGTTCCAAATCCTAGCAGCTGACTGAATGAGATGTTTACAATTTCTTATTTATTTTCATTATCTGTTCCCCATAAAATGAATGAAAGATGAATAATTAATGTAAATTAAATTAAAGTGCTATGTGTTGTCATTATATATTCCCATACAATGACAAAATTAGTTCTTTGCATTTAACCCATCACACGTGAGATACGCCCAGGTGGAGCAGTGGGCAGCTATGTAAACACCTGGGGAGTAGTTAGGGATTGGGTGTCTTGCTCAAGGACAACATGGCATGTGGGCATGGTGCAGAGTTAAGCCTGCAACTTTCAGGTCCCAAGTTTGCTCTACACTATTTCGGTCCCAATATAAATAATATATATAAATAAATAAATATATAAATATACCAGTAAAACGGTCCAGTCTAAATAATTTCCCTCCTCAACTCATGAATGAGAAATGAAAACCTTTTTTAATACCAGTAGTGGCTCAAACATTCTCAAAGGGTCCCTCGAGAGTGCTGACGGATCTCACCAGAGGGAACTGATAGATTACTGTATACCATTCTTACCAGAACTTCTACAGTGCCTCTGGAGCATATGTGTCAAACTCAAGGCCCGGGGGCCAAATGCGGCCCTCATTGACATCTTATCTGGCCCCCAAGATGATATGTGAAACGTAAAATACTTTAATCTCTTATTTTTTTTCAGTAATCTTTGATTATGATGTCAAAAGCACAACAAAGAATGTCAAATGAGACCAATCAAACTCTTGTTGAGGAACCTGTGACCAAGAAAAGATGTTGGGTATACGATTGAGTTAATGTAGATTCTGAAACTGGCCCTTAGATTGAAAAAGGTTTTAATTTTTGTCCCCTTTTGTAAGTGTGTTTGACACACCTGCTCTAGATTGTCCTTGGACACGTGCTTGCCGTCTCCCCTTGCCTGCAGAATGTCTGCGTCACTATGTGCCTATGTGCGGAGTGTTTTTTTCAATCTCAAGCTATCTCTCCTCGGCCAAGGAGTAAGAGTTTGATAGAACTTTTTTGCCTCCAAATTCTAGACATGTGTCACTTTCATTTATTTTTGTCTGTTTAAACAGGTCTCACTTGTAAATGAGTCTTTAAGGTTCAATGTAATTTATCTGTGCGAATAAAGATTGAATGAATGAATTTTCTCCAATGGCAAATGCCCCTTGTATAATTTACTTTATTACCTACCAAATGTCAAACGGCCCTTTGTGAAAAAAAACAACAACAAAAAAAAAAAAAACGTCTAAATCTCCTGAGCTTCCATTCCTCTTTTTTCACACCTTGTTTTGGAATGAATGTAACATTTTGTTTTAATAATCATCTTGAAATTTAGAATTTGTTACATCTCTTGTCTTTATTTATTTACCAGATTGGGCCTTGGCAACAACCACATCCGTAACATAGAAAACGGCAGCCTGTCATACCTGTCCATGCTGAGAGAGCTGCACCTGGACAACAACCGCCTCACACGTGTTCCCCAGGGCCTTCCAAAAATGAAATACCTGCAGGTCAGTTTTCATCACCTTCACACCATTTTGAATGTTTAACACCTTCCATCCTCACCTTGTTCTCTCTGCCACGCCCTCTCTTTCAGGTGGTGTACCTCCATTCCAACAACATCAGTCACGTGGGCGTGGATGACTTCTGCCCTCGAGGGTTTGGGATGAAGAGGACGTTCTATAATGGCATCAGCCTGTTTGAAAACCCTGTCAACTACTGGGAGGTGCAGCCGGCAACGTTCCGCTGCGTGGGCGACCGGTTTGCCATTCAGTTTGGAAACTACAAAAAATAAAAGACAGGGTGATGCTGCGCAATTAAATAAAACAGAGGGAGGGGGTGGTGATGGGGAAAAGGGAGAGAAGCTTGAAGAAACTTGAGTCATAGCAGAAAAGGAGTTCATATTTGAAAAGTTGAAACGATTTATTTAGTGTTATGTTTGTGGCGCAGAAGAGTGATGAAGACGGGGAAACAAACTTGTTGAAGTGACTTCACTACGTCTGGTTTTAAACGTAAATGAAGCTTGTTTCCATCTGAAGCTGATAAAAATGAGGAGAGTGTTTGAGGAGAGCATTTGTCCCACAATGTCTATTTAAAAGTTGTGAAAATTGCAAAACTGTTCATTGCAGTTTTTCACAATAGTTATTGTGACAGAGGTCAATCTTCTGTTGTTTTTATTTTTATTGAAAATTATAGGGAAATATGGAAAAAGCAGTGCATTTTAGAAGGTTTTTTATACATATAAATGGTGCTTTATGACTTTCTATGTGTGCTGGTTTGATAAACACATTGATCTAGATCCTGAAATCTCTGTAACTATTCCAAGTTATCTGAGCAATATCTTAATACGATATGTCTTAAGAGGACACTGAGGTTCTGTCCCAGTCTTAATAAAGGCTGCAACACACCTGCTTCACTTTCAAATAACAAAAGTGGCGTGTTTGCACGGTGCAACATACAATAGTAGTGTTGATGCATTGTTTTGCACAGATTTTCTGTCATGCTTTATCTGCTTTGTGGTACATTACAATTAGCCTGTTTACAGCTGTAGAGCTTTGTGGAACTACTTTAACCTTAAGTATTATGTCCTGTCTCTGTTCTGTAATCTGACAACCTACTGCTGCATGTGAATAAAGACTCTTTCAGCCTGCTGCATTTAGTGAGAAACAACTGATAGCCCCCTGGGTGGAAGGCTGTGTGAGAAATAAAGAAGAAATGCCAAAGAAAAACTGTACACAGTGCACGGGTGACTCTTACAACTACTTAAACATAAAAAAATAATTAAAAAATCCAAGGGCACTGGTCAGGTGAGTTAAGTTGACCATCAGCATATACAGCATGTTCATTTTGAGTGTTTTAAAAAGTATTTAAAGAATACTGGTGGCTTAATATCTATGCTGTAAATCTCTAAATTAAGAGAGAGGAATTATCACTGTTTAATGTATGCTAACAAAAATAGACAGAAGAATAATGCAGATATGAAACTTATCAAACAGATATAACAGCTAAATGTTTTCTTACAGCCCCTCTTTACCGCTTTAAACCAGACTCAAGATACTTTAATATTGTAAAAGTACTATAAATGTAAATAGAACTTGGCTTAAAAGTAATGAATTTATACAACATTTTTGTTTGTTTGTTTTATAGTTCACCAAATATTCTGGCAATCATGTTAGTTTATGAATTTCATCCTTATAATATAGTGAAAGGCATAATTTACAAAAAATAACTTCCTACAATAAATTGTGCTATTGATAAAGGGTTAAATAGATGGCAGTTGTAATTTATTTAGTTTGGCCTTCTACTCAACGCTCACGATTAAAACGTCCTGGATTACTGACAATCGACACCAAAATAACACCAAAATATTTTTTTATTAAATGGTAATTTTTCATTTCCCATTGGGCAATCCAAAATAAAACTCAAGCCTAGTGTGGATAGTTTTACATTTTTGAACTATTTAGAATTTTCCAAAAACTAATGAACCCTTTCACCCTGGAATCACTGGACTTCTCTGGACACTTTTTTTTCTTCTCAGACATGATTATTTGGCAACTTGTTGCTGATCAGTTCATTGTGGGGTGTTCACCAGGATTAACATTATTTTTAATTAATACCATGTGATATAATAACTAACTGCATTTTCAAAGAATGCAGAGTGATGAATAACCACATATTTTTTTAACTGAGTTGTTAAATGTATAAAAAGCTGAAAACCAACTAAGTGTGTTTAATTCTAGCTTAAGCTGAATGTGGAAAGATGACAGTTAAAGTAATAAAAGGCTAACTAAAACCTAAATGTAAAAAAGGCTAACTAAAAATAGAAAAAGCCTAGGTAATAGCTTAAAGTGTCAAAAAGGTAGTAAAAAGTATTAAAAAAATACTACCAGCTAGAAAACAGTAGAAAACAGTTTGGTGGAAGCAAAAAGTTAAAAGTAGGTAAATGCTAGTTAAAAGTAGCAGAACAATAGCAAAAACTGGAAGTGTATACATACATACATATATATATATACATGTGT